TGTTGCACCTTTTAAAGGTGCAAGCCAGATGGTGAACAAAGGTTTTGTGGTTTTTACCAGACATATCTCCTGCAAGAACCTAACAATGTTGCTGGAACTGTGACTGTTGACAAAGAGGTCCACATTGTTGACGTCCAAGTCCGTTCTGGCCTGCACTCCTCCGATACCGTTATTGACTACATGCATGTAAGTAAGACTCTGCCAAGACTTAATCTCTGAGGAAGTTTTTAAACTCAGAAATTCATTCAGTGTATTGTCACCATGAGTTGTCATGAAACACGGTTTCTTTGAAGACTTCCATCACCTTTCCTCCTCTTATGCCATCTCTTTTTGCGGTTTCTGAAAGTGAGAAGAATGGCATTGACCTCAAGGAGGTCAGAGCTGAGAATGGGCTGCTATCGCTCACGTATAGCACTTGCAGCAGAAGTCTGTCGGAAAAGATGCTTCCAGTCTTATGGGCAGACGTGAGTGTGGGCAGGCTGTTTCCGTTCCCCAAAGGTGACATCAATGCAGAGTCATTGCTCAGTAGCGGCCTGTGTAGCCACTTGGTGTTTCTTCTAGGTTGGCCTAAAGATTGTGGGGAAATCCAACTGATATTAGCGGCAGTCATTTTCAATTAATTAATTAACTGTATTTTTTTAATCACAGGGATATATTGCAATAAGGTTATTTTCACGAAGTGCCTGCTTTATTGTGAAAATAAATAAGGAATCCGTCCCAGAACTGCAAGAAATCCAACGCATGGCCCTTGAGAAACAGGTGACTTTGTAGTAAAACCCATACTGTGTCGAGGACAGGCTGCTGTATAGGAGTTGTGTGATGTGACGGGAGCCCTCCATTCTGCCTTTAAGAACAACTGTTCTTAAGAATGATGAAGCAGATTTGACAAAACAGAACCTCAAGGGAATATCATATAGAACATTATTTTAAGATGATGAGCATTCATGGCTCCCTGCTGTGGTTTTATACTGGACAATCATGTCCCTGGAAGTAGTGTTATTTGGCTGTTTTGGGCTGATGACAATATGAGTTTATGCTGGCTTTTTCTGTTTTCATTGTCCCGTTGATATGTTGAGTGTGACATACATTGAAATAATTCTGTGTGGAGAACAGAATTTAGAAATCAGTTTACTTTGACCCAACTGACTTTCCTATTCAGGCAAAGGTTTCATGAAGGTGACTGGAAATGTTGCCTGGAGATGGATTTGAGTTCTGGACCAATTTATGGCAGCCTGACAGTAGCACAATAACAGCAAAACTTACTGCAAGTTAACAGCAAAACTTACTGCAAGTTAACATAACTTATTATGATAGTAATACAGCTCAATTTTGCCGTTTTGACAGAATTGGTATCCAGTGAACTTTGAATAGGTTGAAAATATTTATTTTCTTTTAAAACATGTAGCTGCTTTAGCTAATATTGATGTGAGGCAAAGGGAAGTGAACTTAGATTTTGGGGTTTTCTCTAAGGTGTCCTAGCAGAATGAAACCAAAGCTGCATTACTGATGACATCTAACATTTTCTTTTTAGAATATGAACACAGCGCGGTCTCCAAAGAATATGTGGTTACAGTTTCAATCTGGCCATTCTGCGCATGGGAGTAACAAAGACTGGCTTGCCTACGGTAAACCCATTGAACAACTCTGCACAGGTCTGCCTCTCTACCAGCTTACTACTACTCAACGTGAGTGACAAGATCAGAATTTTTTTCTTCTGTTACAGCCCATAAGCAACTTTCTATCCTTTAAACCAAGGTCCACGTGACAACTTTGAGGCAGGAACATCTTTC